TCATACCTCTATATACTAAAAATGTTCATGTTGAAATGAAAATTAAAAAGATAATACCATTTATCAATACTCCAATGAAATTAATTTTTAGGTATAAATTTCAAAATATGTGTATAGGATTTGTATGCTGATAATTACAAATACTAATGAAAGAAATCAAAGAAAACTCCTACAGAAATGAAGAGTTATACTATGTTCATAGATTCAGAGACTCAAGATGATAAAGATGTCAGATCTTCTTGAATTGATCTATAGGTTTCATACAATTGCTATTGAAATTCCTGGAAAGTAGAGATGGGAATGTAGCTTAGTGCTAGAGCACTTGCCTAGATGAGCATGGCACTAGGATGGATCCCCAGAACCACAAAACAAGAAAAAAAAAAGAAATTCCAGTGAGGTTTGTGTGATTATAAATAAGATTATGATGAAATTTATAAAGAAAACAAGCAGCCCACAATAGTTAACTAGCTATAGTAGCTTTGCAAAGAAAAACAAAGAGGACTCACTTCACTTGATATTTAAGCCTACCATACAGATACACAAATCAAGTACCATAGTATTGGCAGATGGATGGATATATAAGTATAGAATAAAGAATGAAGAAATCAACACATAAACCTGCACAGTGGATTTTGAAAAATAAGTGCAAAAGCAATTCAACAGAAGAAGCATAGTCTTGTTCAACAAATGGTGTTGAAGCAACTTCCTGTCCATGGAAAACAACTAAAACTTGACTTAAGTAAATCTCATAGCTTATACAAATACTAACTCAGAAAGGGCTTACCAACTTAAATGTAAAGTATAAAGCAAAACATATTTTGACATATCTTCTACTTTAATAATTAAGCATTGAAAATAAGAAAAAAATCATTATGGCCAAGAGCTAGACAAAGAATTCTTATATGTCATACCAAAAGCATGATTTTTAAGTAGAAAAATTCATAATTTGAATCTCATTGAAATTAAGAATATTTGCTTTACAAAAGAACATAAGATGAAGAAAACATAAATTACATTCTTGCAGAAAATATTTGTAAATCACTAATCCAAAAAAGGGAATTGTATCCAGACATACAAAACTACTTAAAACCATAATAAAGAAGATACAAAAATTCAATTATAAAATTAACAAATACATGGGCAGAAATATTACTGAAGAGGAATGAGATGGCAAATAGCACATAGAAAAGCTTGCCATCCTTAGTCATTAGAGAAATGCAAATTAAAATCCAATAATATACCAGGATAAGCCTATGAGAATGGCTAAAATTAAATACAATGACAACACCAAATACTGCAAGTATGTGGAGAAACTGTACTATTGTTAGTAGGGATGTAAAATGGTACAGTGACATTGGAAAATAGTTTTGCAGTGTTTTATAACTAAAAATGCAGCTACCTTACAATTCATATTTACTCTTGAATATTTATCCTAGAACAATGTAAACTTATTTTTACCCCATATTCTTGTGTGAATGTTCATAGAAGTTTTATTTTTAATAGCCCCAAACTGGAAACAACCCAGATGCCATTCAGTGGGTACTTGTATGTGCACTAGCATGCCCTTATCAAGGAAAAGTCTTCAGCAATAAAAAGGATAAAATATACTTACACACAATATTTTGTATGGCTTGCAAGGGAATTATGCTGAATGAAAAAATCTAATTCCAAAATGTGTATATTGTATGATTTCATTTATACTGCAATTTACAAAATTATAAATAGGAAGATTGCATTAGTAGTGGCCAGTGATTTAGAATTGGGTAGAGAGAATTATAACTATAAAATGACAACAGGAGAATCGCATGAAGTGGTGCTATTGTCTTATATCTTGAGAGAATTGAGTCAATATCCTGATTATGATAGTGTACTACTGTTTTGCAAAATGTTACCATTGAGCAAATTTTGGTAAAGGATATGTGGATCTTTCTATATTATTTCTTGCAACTGAATATGATTCTGCAATTATCTCAAGAACTACATTTTAATTAAAATGCTGTGTCAAATGATTTACCATGGCTTGGAGCCTTGGCATATGCCTATAATCCCAGTGATTTGGGAGGCTAAAGAAAGAAGATCTCAAGTTCAAGGCCTACCTCAGCAATTTAGCAAGACTCTCGGAATTTGGCAAGACCCTTCAAAATAAAAAGGACTGGGAACAGAGAGTAGTTGTAGAACACCCATAGATTTCATCCCTAGTATCCTCCAAAACAACAACAACAACAACAAAACAAATTTAAAAATGTGTTAACATTTTTGGTGGCACTGGGGTACTTGTATGTGCAATAGCTAACTCTGCATATAAAACTGCTAATAGGGCATGACTCTGAAAATATGATTCAAAAATTAAGAGGTGAAAAATATAGGGAAATTTATTTTTTTGTAAAATAAAGTTGTTTCTATAGATGACAATACAAAAAAACCCAAAATATTACACGGCTTTTTCATTTGCTTTTTCATGAAACAAAGTAAGGTAAAAATTCAAGGAGAAAATATTTTAAAAGCCATTTACCATGGAATAAAGAATCACCTAACATTATTCTTTCAAAATAAAGGTAAGGGGGCAGAAAAACTTTTGTTCATTATAATGATAGTTATCTGAACTATTTCCATTATTAGCAACATTTATGTGTGTATGTTTAGGTATAAATGCAAATTATCTATACATAAAAGGCTTGTTAAGCCATTTAATTGATAAGTTACTGCACAGAACAACAATAGTATCTTTGAATAGAAGCTAATATGTTCAACTTCTGAAATTCTTTGAAGTGGATTATTTAAATAATAATAATAATAATAATAATAATAATAATAATAGTGATTATTTCTGGCCTAGTAGCTAGCAATGTGCTAAAATGTCAATGCCCTTGGACTTCCCTCACATCAACACCAAGGCTTGCTATTTCAACTGCTGTTTATAAAGATTTGGAGTATCTCTTTTCAATTTGGAAGACATAGGAAGCTCATTAGCTTCAAATCCATTGGCATACTTGAATTTTTTTAAAAATTAATTTGTTTGTTCTAATTTGTTGTACATGACATCAGAAGGCATTTTGATTCATAGTACACAAATGAGGCACAACTTTTCACTTCTCTGGTTGTACACAAAGTAGAGTGGCAAGTTTCTTTTTCTTTTTAGTATATTACTTTCTCATGGATGCCATTTGACACACATTAAACTTTCAGCCTTTGTCTTTTAGTTTCACCTTCCATTTAAATGTAGAAACATGAAAATATGACAAACGTCATTGTTTTGGAAACTTCAGCCCTTCATTCATTCTTATAAATACACATAATTCTGGGGCATTTCAATGAGGTTTCTTGGAGCATTGAATCTAACCATATATTTAAACACATAAAAGAAATGCAATTCAGATTACTAATGTGCTACATTATTTTTCCATCAACAGTAAATAATGAAATGAAGTGTTAGACTCTGGAAATTCAACTCAATACTAATCTCAAATAAGGACACACATTTGCCTATCTTGAAGAATTACCTCCACACGTGCAAAATTAATCATAGATAACAACTTTAAAAAATAATCAGCAGATAAGAAATTAAAATCAAGTGACTTGGTATAGTGAGAACAGCTGGTTCAATCAGTACTCTTTAACTGTAATAGCATGACATTATTTATCAATGCCCCCACAGAACCTCTATTCTATTAAGAATTATGTTTGAACATATAATAATTGGTAGATCCCAAGATAAAGAACAAGTGTTGCCCAAGGAACAACTCATTTGTTATTTTAAAAATCCAGTGGAAATTTATCTCAAATACAACTATTTATAATCCAATACATTTTCCAACATTAACTCTAATGTATGTTATCAGTGTTTAAAGATACATTTATGTCTAAATTTTATAACTTTGACCTAGTTTAACGTCTTAAGACATTGGAAGCCACAGCTCAGCATGAAGATAATTGTTATAGGTGACTGTGATAAGGAAATATGGTCCTTATAAGTAGGAATGGGAGGAGCCAATCATAATTTCAGAAGTAGAAGTTGAATTTTTATTTGAAAAAAAGAAATACTAGGTGCTTCAGAAGTCTCAGCATGGCTAAGTCAGTCTCTCCAAGTCAAGAATCAACTTGTCTCAGAGTTTTCTTTATTTATTTGAATAAGATGAAATATAGAAAGCCAAATAAATAGATTTAAACACACCTTCCATATGCCTATATCTAGCTTTCTAATGTTCTAATAGTATAATGACATTCATGATCACTCATGCAGGCTATGATTCATAATCCATGAAGGGCTAAATGCTTAAACTGAGATTTTTTAACTGCTAATGTGTTACATGGATACTGTTTCAATGCATTATCATTAAACAAACTGCATATGTTTCTTCCGCAAGCTGACAAAGATGTGAAGATGTGTGATGAGTTTTCTTGGGGATAATGGCACAGACTTTGTTATTAACTTTGGTATTGGCCCTGAGAGACTCAGAAAAAAATTTTGGGTATTGATCTAGCAATTTTAGTTAACAAAACAATACAGAACACAATTTTTGTATTCCCTAACTTGGCAATGCTGTCTTCCTCTTCCTGTGCTCATACACACATTACCTAAATCATCTTTGCAGATGTGTGTGAACCAGAGGTATCTCTGCTCTATCTGTCTGTGAAGGGCAATAACAAAATGTTACAACCCATTTAGCAATAAACTATGCATCCTTTCTGCAAGTCTTTGCTTACATTTTATTTCCAACATTTTACCTCCTGTATAAATTTTATTTCATAGTCTTTAGTAATTTCTGGCAACATAAGTAGATACCCAGATGGCATCTCTTTTCTCCATAAGCTAGAAATAATGTCTCAATATAAATTCCAATCCCATCTTTTTTATGATTTAGCTTCTAAATTTTAGAAAGCAGCAACACAAGCAAATATTGAGACAATACCTTTAGCTGAAAGATATAGCAACAGATTTTAAGTATGAGGATGTAGCATGTGATTTCATTGATACAACGGTAATGGAATTAAAACAATACCTGATGACACAGGCGTAAAGACCACTGTCCTGCAGCAATGTTGGTCGGAACCAAATGGAGTCTTCTTCCTTGCTCATTCTACTTCCATCAAAAGCAATTGGCTCTTCAAAGTCTCCAGGACCAGAGCTTTTGTACCACATCAAACTGAGTCCAGCACTTTGGGCAAGGGAGTAATTTGCTCTGATATAACCATAAAAAAGTGCGCATTTGATTCGAACAGGCTCTCCCACCAAAACTTGGTATTTCTTGATGTCGACAGACCAATCCGTGCATCCATCAGCTACAGTAAAAAGAGAGAGACAAAAAACATTAGATAAAAAATTAAGCAATGAGTTCATTCATTCATTCATTTAACAAATGTCTAATAAACATCTACATATATGCAGATTTACTCAAGACAAAGAAAATGTAACAGGGAAGAAAACTCAGAAGGAGCATGAAAAGTAGTTTACCCTGCTAGTAAACAATGTATTCTTTACTTAGTCTGCTCCTGCTGGTACTTATTTTTACTTTATAACAGTAGGTTCATTAGTATTTATTATCCCTCAGTTCTTAATATACTTCTTTGCCTGCTCTGTGAAAATAGATTTGGACCCTAAAAATATTTCCTTTGCTAGCAGGTATTCAAGCTTTGTCAGTAGAGGGTGCTGGAGAGACACTACAGGAGGAAAGGGTTTTGCTTCCTAGTCCCAGCATGCTTGCTTGACAGGCTCTTATAAGTGTGCAAGTCTTCTCCAGCAGCTGGCTCCTGCAGGCAGCAGCTTGACATTTTTTTTTTTTTTTAAGCAGAGTCTCAGGTAAGACAACTTCTCATGAACAGCTTTACCAAGAATATAATAGGGAGTGTCTGTGTGAACTTCCAGAGGGCAGGTTTCTAACAAGTTCTGATAGCACAGCACTTCAGTGACTTCTGCCATTCAGTTAATCATTATTTTACCTTTCTAATAACACTTGAAACTCTACTTATGAATAGAAGTATTGGAACTTTTCTTTGGGTGGTCTGTCTCATCCCTAGGGATTATAGCAGTTACTCTTCTACTCCTTCATGTTATTTTTTGCTATGATCTGAATGTGACCTCAATTCATAATTTGAAAAACTAACAACCAATGTGATGGTGTTTGAAGATTAGACCACTGGGAGGTAATTAGAGTAAGATGAGGTCATGAAGCTGTGGCTTTTCTAATAGGATTAGAGCCCTTATAAGAAGAGACTTGGGAAATTGTCCCTTGTGCTCACAAGACAAAGAAAGAATGTAGTCATCTGCAAGCCAGGAAGAGAGTCATCACCAGAAACCAACTATCTGGCTTTTTGATTAAGAGCTTTCCAACTATCAGAACTAGGAGTAATAAATTTCTGTTTATCGAAGCCATTTAGTCTATGATATTTTGATATGGCAACATAAACAGAATAATACATATTTCTTTCATACTAGCCATTCCTTTCATTACTCTAATCTGTTGTTGCATTTAATACTTATTTATAAAATATTTATCTTACAAATTACTATGCAGATTTTTCTTGCTGATATGACTCTGACTGATAAAATCAGGAATGAAGATCTTATAGCTAACAAAATAGCAAGAAATAAAATAGAGTTGTTATCAAGACAATAAATTAGGCATCACTCAAAATATGTGAATGATGAACAAAAGGCAAAGACCAAGAATTAAAGGACCTCTAACAGCAGTAACAAGCAGTGTTCAACTCCACAAATGAAAAAGTAGTCAACCCAAATGCTGTGAGAACAGGATGAACAACTTAAAATTCAAGAGAAGGAAAAATGATCGAAATGAAAAGAAGTATGTACATTAGAACAAAGAAGACAAATAACAAGACACTGAATTAATTATTAATTTAAAAATAATTTGTACTATCTACTAACAACTTATATATTCACCAGTGAATTTACAAATTTTGATTTATGTTTCACATAAACATCCATTATGGTTTTGGAACTTGCTGCTCTCTTTGTCTGAAATCTTTTTTAAGTACCAGGGATTGAACCCAGGGGTACTTAGCCATTGAGACACATCACAGCCCTTTTTAATTGTTTTCTTGTGAGACAGGGTCCAGCTACTGGGGTTACAGGTGTGTATCACCATGCCTGGCTTGTCTGAAATGTTTTAAACCAATGAGTTGCATGGCTTCCTCTCCTCTTTCTATTTCCCTCTAAATATCACTTTGCAAAAGAGGCTTTTTCTGATTGTCCTGTATGAAATATTGCCTTACCATCCTGGTCACTTGATCTGGATTCTGGTTTAATATATTTCATAGGACTTAGTTTTATCCAACATTATATTGCATTACATTTTACATTCATTTGTTCCTTTGGTTTTGGTCTCCTCAACAGAATGTAAGATCCTTGAGATCAGGGACTTTTTTCTTGTCACTCACTTCTTTGAAAATCCCGGTGCCTAGAAGTGCCTGGTAGCCAGCTTGGCATATATTTACTAAACACATGAGTGAATAAATAAACAAATTAATGACCAAACCGTAAATTGAAGAAACTCCATGTCCCCTCACAAGTGCTGCGATTATAACCCAGCTATGCCTGAATCCAGAATTCATTCTTTCTACAACTATGTATTATGTTTGTACATAAAGGTGTCAATTTCTAACTATTGTGTGATATAGTCTATTTTATTTACCCAATTAGAGTCTAAGATTCTTAATAAAGGAATTGAGTCACGATAGAGAGAGAGTAAATATGCAAGAAGCTTGGTGGAAATCATCAATGTCACTCATTGCTATTATTCCTGTAAATGACAACTTCAGAGTTGGAATCATACACTAAAGAGGATAAAAGCACTGCACAAACATATGTCAAGGTTACATAAATGCATAGGATATTTGTCAATGCAGTTTTGTATATTTTCCCCATTACATAAAATGAATCCTAGGCAGGATTTTATTTTAAAGGTTATAATTTCAGTGACAAACATGGCATTATCTTGTGTTACCACAATGTGAACTACTGCATGATTCTGGAATCAAGTAATTGTAACTGAGGATAGCACTGCTAGTGAAAAGATTGAAATACCTTCAAGGTAGAAGTTTAAAGAGTAAGATGAATTTATTCAAAGCTTTAGAAGATTTGTAAGATAAAGCAAAATGCTTAAAGGTAAAAGTAAAAATATTTAGTTTAGAAAGTTCTAAAAAGATACTAACAAATTAGATTAAGAGAACAGAGGGAGAATTGTACTGGAAATATATGCATATAGATATTAATACATACTTCAGTATAGGCTGAGTTAAATGTTGAAAAAAAAGACAAATATTCCTGAAAAGTAAAGTTACTCTGTACTTCAATATCAGTCAGGTGGGATATTTCAAGCAGCTGGGTCATGTGGCAAGGAAAAAACAGAGGGGATGATGAATAAATTATAGCACTTTGGACAATAGAGACACTTCATATTCATATTAATATGGAAATAGATAGGGATCTATGACTTAGGAGGTTTTGCCAAAATTCCATTAGTGGCATGCTGCTCAAAAATGAACTGTCAAATTATTGAGATGTTTTTAATATTCTTGGAAAAAAGATGGCAAATACAAAAAGGAATAATTTGAGATATTGTCAAATTATTTGTGTAAATGTATTTAAATAAATGATGGACTTATATCCCCTTTCAGTATTTACAGTAAAATATTTTAGTAATTGAAAGAAGTGATAACATATTTATTTTCTTCCTTTGTTAACATTTTCCCTCAGTTGTTCACATGCTCTCTTATTCTGTGTCCATGAATGACATTTTTTTTCTTAAATCCAGTCAAAATAAATTAGAGTCATGATGTCACTTTACTCCAAAATATTTCAGCATCTTCTTTTTAATAAAGGTATTTTTGTCATATTATCACAAGTTATTCTTTTTCACTTTGTGAAACAAGGCATCTCAAATCTTAAAAATATACATGCTAATGTAAAACTAAACTCTTTTTAAAATATTTTTAGTTATAGATGGACAGAATAATTTTATTTTACTTATTTATTTTTATGTGGTTCTGAGGATCAAACCCAGTGCCTCACACATGCTAGGCAAGTGCTCCACCACTGAGTCACAAACCCAGTCCCCTAAAAGTAAACTCATGATGACCAGAATTACTGATACATTCAGTTTTTTCTTATTTCAGCACACAAGATCTTATGGGAATGATCATTTCAAAAGTACATTTCTAGATACTGTTCATTCTATTATGTAAGTTACCAGGTTTGTTACTTTTGAAAAATTATCATCAAGTAATTGTACAGACTAGTAATAATTTGTATTTTTTTTCCTTTCAGAATCAAATACACTTGTATAAAGTCTCTCACAGAAAAGTTCCCTGATGGGAAGATTCCAAGGAAATACTCCATTTCAATACAACTCTGGAGTACAAATTCCATAGAGCAAATGGGAAGCAAAAAGAAAAAAAATGGGTCAGGGAGTAGGAATAAAAAGCACCATCTTCATTCCTTTTTGTTACCATCCATAAATTTCCAAGAAGTTCCAAGTACTTATACAAAGAACATATATATTCCAAGAACTTATATGAGGACAGTGGAAGAATTGAGATTTGAGACTAATTATTTTTTGAGAGTTTATAGTGAAGTATAATTTCAAGAACAAAAGCTACATATGCTGGATAATGTCAATATATTCAAATAAGATCAGAAAAAAGTATTCTTAATTAAGTCACTATTACTACATGTGTAAGAGCTCAAAACATTTCCATGGTAACAAGCTCGAAGGTTGAATCCTTAAAAAAAAATCTTAGCATAGAATTGCACATGTTACATCCTATATGAAAATGTAAGACTTTATTTATAAAAGGGTGAATTATATTACTTTTAAAGTATCTAATTGGAGAGGTATGTTAGAATAATTATAAAACATAAACAAGTTTTATATACACTATGATAGTGTAGGAGATGCTCCATCTTGGTCCCTTTTTACTAAGCTGATACATCCCATCTTCAACTCATTTGAGCACTGAGTGCTAACAGCTCACAGTCATATTTTCTTGAAAATTACTTTTGTTATTATTTTTAAATAATGTTTGTATATTATAATTATGCATAATAGTGGGATTTGTTGTTACATATTTGTTTATGTACAAAATATAACAATATAATTTGGTTAAATATAACAATATACTTTGGTATCTCCACAGTAACTCCCCTCTAGTATCCCCCTGGCCCTTTCCTCTATGAAAATTATTTTTGACTGACAAAAGCAACCCTTCTGAAAAATTGACACTCCCTTGGCCCACTGGTAATAAGGGACTGATGTGGGTTTGTA